AAACAAGGAAGAACTTTGATTTCACCCATTGAACTGTGCATTATGAGACACATTATGCATTTGAAATAAGAACACATTTATAATTTGTTGGAAGCTGCCCAGTGTGTCTGGGGAAACCCTGTCAGATGGGCAGCATATAAATTGTTTATTGTTGTTGTTATTGTTGTTGTTACCCAGCCAGAATTAAATACTTTTGCATACCCATGAGCTGAATAGCAGAGATGTAAGCACATGCTTAACTAGGCTATCAAAATCAGCAGGACCAAAAAAAAAGTGCTTAATTTTGGTCAAATTTGTTCTTAATAGCTGGAAGTGTGTTGAGCAGCTTTCCTTGCTAGGCTTCTACAGTGGGAATCCTCAACTCTGTCACCTCCAGACCTTGCAATGTTGCCACATAGGATTGTTTTGCTGGGTATCTAGTTCCCAGTTCTAACTGCCTGCTGCATTTTTCTGGGTGGGAGTCCACATTTGCCCACAAGGGGGCTCTCCCTGTGGAAAGCAGGGAGGATTTTGTCCTCGCCATCTGCTTACATCTGTGTGAAAGAATCAGAAAAGGGGAATCGTGTGGTAAAAATAAGCAGCCATTAACGGCACATTAAGCTCTCTGTTGAATACGGATTTATTATTTGATTTGGCTCAGTGAGGGCGCTTCCCAGAGACTTTCTAGTTTCTAAATATATTCTTGTTATAGCTGTGGAAAATTAGGCTTTCAATTATGTCCAATCTTAACAAAATATTACAAAGACTGCTGAGAAATCAGAGGCTGAGCTGCGAGGGAACAGAGATGAAGACTGCTAATTAACAAAGAGGAGCCAATAAATGATCTCAGAGGGTTGCCAGTAAAGTCCTGAGTCCAAATCCTGCAACTGGCTTGTACAGTCACTGTAGGGATGGCAGATCTTCCAGTTTTCTCAATTTCTCCTTTTTCCAATCTTAAATTCAATTCACCGCATTTTGCAGACATTGGGGAGGGTGTACACACACACACACACACACACACACACACACACATTCATAAAAATTCACCAGGATTTTAGCATGCATTTATCCTAATAAACACATTTTTATACAGAGCTTTGGCTAATTTGCCAGCAATTTCCCCCCTAATATATGGCATTTTGGGGTGTGATTTTCACCAATGTATTTATTTTTCCACACACTTTCCCCTAATACAGTGGTACCTTGGGTTAAGAACTTAATTTGTTCTGGAGGTCCGTTCTTAACCTGAAACTGTTCTTAACCTGAGGTACCACCATAGCTAATGGAGCCTCCCGCTGCCGCCGCACCTCCACCACGTGATTTCTGTTCTCATCCTGAAGCAAAGTTCTTAACCCGAGGTACTATTTCTGGGTTAGCGGAGTCTGTAACTTGAAGCGTCTGTAACCTGAAGCGTCTGTAAACCGAGGTACCACTGTATATGTACTTTTCTAAATGTTGCTTGGTTGGCAAACCGCATAGCACAATTCAGGTAAGTGCAAATTTTGAAAGCCAGCTGGGTTTCAGTTCACTTTTTTTCCCCAGAAAGTGCTAGATTCATCTTCAAATGAAGCCTGGGTTGAATTTCTCTCCCACTTCTAGGTCACTGTACCACTCAGAGTTCTACAAAGTCTTCCATTTCCTCACAGCTGGAACAAGTCAGTTAGTTGGCTGATTGTACAGTGGTACCTCGGGTTACATACGCTTCAGGTTACATAAGCTTCAGGTTACAGAGTAACCCAGAAATAGTACCTCGGATTAAGAACTTTGCTTCAGGATGAGAACAGAAATCGTGCAGCAGCGGCACAGCGGCAGCAGGAGGCCCCATTAACTAAAGTGGTGCTTCAGGTTAAGAAAAGTTTCAGGTTAAGAACAGACCTCCGGAACGAATTAAGTTCTTAACCCAAGGTACCACTGTATTTGCTATAAATTGCGTCCAACTTTCAGAGGTCTCCCAACGTGGTTTACAACAATTTCAAAATGTGTTTTAAAAATCAAAGTATGCAAATATAAAATGCTGAAAGCCCTCATCCAAAGAAAAAAGTCATCTAAACCAGCACAAAATACCCACGTTGTTCCTCACAGGATGAACACCAAAAGCCTGGCCAACACTGCTGTCCAAATGCTGAAAAGAATAAAAACAACCTTTGCCTAGCATCAGACAAATGACTAAGTTGTCACCCTGCAGAGACCATTCCACAAACAGAGGGCAAATTTTTTTTTTTTTAATGACCCATTCTCCCATTGTCACCCTCCAGACATATCTTAGAGGGAGCACACTTATCAGTATAGAAATACTTTAATACATAAATAAAAACAAACAAATCTCTTCCCAAACTCCCTGTTGGCGCAGCGCATTGCTTGTCCCTTCAGTAGCAGCTTTGCTTCCACTTGGCTAAATATTGCCTATAGTCATGCTACTTCCATTGCTGTAATTTCAAAATAGCGCAGAAAGCTGAATAACTTCAGGCAAAGGGGATCGCAACCATCACAGCCAGCACTTCCTTCTTCTAACCACCAGGTAGCAACCTTTTGCAAACTATTGCAATGAAAGACCAGAAAGAGATGGAAGGCAGTGTGTTAAAGGGGATGGGGGGGTTGTTCGCTAGCTAGCCATTGCTGTTTAATGGCGAGCTTGATATTGCTAAGCAAATGCCCCAGTTTTAAGAAGAAACCCTAGCTAGCAGCAATAATAATAATATCTCTTTCCCTTTTTGCTACCATCCTCCCCCTCCCATCATGCAAACACATGCATGCCCAGGGAGGGGGGAGAGCAAGAGGAAAATAAATATAGAACAGAAGAAGAAAAAACATTTGAGTTGAGCATGAAAACAAAATCCCGCAGGCTGCGTTATAAACAGAAGCCCTCAATTCTCGGGTTTAGAATAAGACCAGGAAAAGCTCGGCAGGCAGATTCATCGCAGATTTCTTCCCCACCACCCCCAGTTCGCCCCCACCCCCAGTCTCCATGGCAACATGCCCTGTTGCACAGAGAAGCAGGAGAGGAGCTGAGTTAAAGGCACTGTAGCAAAAGCAGAGCGAAAACGCATTGCAAGGGGCTTATCGTTAGACGAGTATTTGTTTTAAATCCGGGCTCACAATCAGCTGGCAATTGCACCGTATTTCATCTAGGAAAGCACAACGACCGCAGGTTCTTGCTTCCGTTTGGCATTTTTTCATCTACTTATCCTCTCACATGCAGCCAACTTAAAATGGGTGCAGGGGTCAAGCAGGGGTTAAGCCTTTAAGTGCAGGATGAGGGTGTGTGCATATGTGTGAATGCACCCAGAGTGCTGCTGGGTCAGGTCACAGGTGCATCTACTCCAGCATTCTGTTCCGACAGTGGCCAACTAGATGCCCAGATGCCAACCAGGACCTGAGCACACCAGCACTGTCCCATGGACTGGGGTAGCCAACACAATCTCCCCCAGAGGTTGCGGAAGGCAACTCCATTCAGCACCTGCTAGCATGGACAGCGGTCACAACAGCTAGAGGGCATCGCCTTAGCTATGCACCCCTGCTATATACATTTCACTTAGCACTACGCTCCCCTGAAGCCTGCTGGACTTAATCGGAGTAGAAATGCATCAGGTTCTGTGTAAATAACTAACCATTTTCTGACTTGGATGACACACCAAATGAGCCGCCTGAGGCTGTCACCTCACGCCACCCAACAGTAGGATCAGCTCCCTATGCTCCATGAAAATGGATGTAAACAGAGAACCAGTTGCTAGGTAAGCCTATCTATGTAGGTTCACTGTGGTCTTCCAGTGCTCAGAGCAATGACATAATAATAATAATAATAATAATAATAATAATAATAATAATAATTGTACCCCGCCCATCTGACTAGGTTGCCCCAGCCACTCCAGGTGGCTTCCAACAAATATAAAAGCATAATAAAACATCAAACATTAAAGACTTCCCTATACTGGGCTGCCTTCAGATGTCTTATAAAAGTTGTATAGTTATTGATCTCCTTGACATCTGATAGGAAGGCGTTCCACAGGGTGGGTGCCACTACCGAGAAGGCCCTCTGCCTGCTTTCCTGTAACTTCACTTCTGTCAGAGAGGGAACTGCTAGAAGGCCCTCTGAGCTAGATCTCAGTGTCCGGGTTGAAAAATGGAATAATAATGGCATTCACACTGCATCACATCTTGGGGCTACAGGACTATGCATTTAGCCCTGCCCTCGAGGTGGCGTCCATTTTCCTGAGCCATCATGTGATGGGGTGGAATTTCTGCAGCAGGAACTTTTGCATTCATGGCGGATACTGGCAGAATTGAGAAGCCTTTTTTTATGACCCCTAAATTTAAGTCTGCTCTGCATGTGTGAGCGATAGGATGGATGTGCAACGAACATGTAGCCGTTCAGCTGTGCACCAATGTACCCATCAAATACACCTGTGTACATAAGCCAATCTGAAGGCATCAGGGCATATGTAGCATTTGAACAACCTGAGGTGTGTGTAATGAGATGATCAGTCAGCCTGATGCGTGCGCCTGAAGTCATTGCTGGAGTGAGCAACAGTTTTCTTGCAAGGCAACTCTGTAAGAGAAATTGCCATAGAATTAATAGGAGCTTATACAGTTACACAGCTCAATAACAGAGCCAGAGAAAGGCTAGTTCTCCCCCTGTCCTCCAGTGCTGCTGTTTGGGGATTCCTTAAGTGACTGAAATGCACCGATCCTGTCGTGCACTGCATGCAGTCCATTACTGGTCCCCTCAACAGGCAATTATTCCAAGTTATGCTGGTCACTTTGGGACAACTGAGGCAAGGTTAGTTGGCAGGAAATCCTTCCACGAGTGTTCAGAGCAGTGTCTGTTTTTTGTGTCGTTACAAAGCTCTCTTGCCTTAGCAAGGATGGGGAACCTGTGCTCACCCACCTCCCAAAGTTGTGGAACTACAACTGCCATCATCCCTGGTCTCTGGCCATGCTGGTGTCATGGAACCATAGAATGTTAGAGCTGGAAGGGACTGCAAGGGTCATCTAAGTCCAACCCCCTGCAATGCAGGAATCTTTTGCCCAGTATGGGGCTCAAACCCAAGACCCTGAGATTAAGAGTCTCATGCTCTGCCAACAGACCTCCGAAAACATCCGCCTCCACTGTTGGAGACCTGAAGCCACTGAATACCAATTCCTAAGAATCACAGGTAGGGTGGGAGAGCAATGTTGCACTTGTGTCTTGCTTGCAGGTTCACCACAAGGATCTGGTTGGCAACGATGAGAAAAAGAAGCTGGACCAGATAGAATTCCTGCTCCATGATTGCAGTCATGGGGTTTTTGTCTATCACATGACGGTGTATGTTTTGACTCCACAGAGTGGGAAGTGATGGAGACAGGATGTTTGTGTTACTGTGTTCCATGAAGTGTGACTATTGTCCTTTGTTCTTTCTCTTTGCTGTCTGATGCTAGAGAGAGAGGGAGCCATGTTGCAGTGCTCCGTGTGTGTTTATATGTAATTAAGTAGATTAGCCAAAATGCTGAGTTCTGTTACGCAAACTGCGAACATTCTGTGGATCCCTAAGTGTGCCAATGTCTGTTGGCATCAGTCGCTGTGATGTTCGTGCTGAAGAAAGCTTTTGAAGCTCCTGAACGATCGACCAGGAGGGAGAGAACATGCCAGTCGGGCATGTGTCTCTGCCAGGGTCCTACTCAAGTGTAAGGCGAGCTCCTGACAGGGAGGCCTTCAGTATGCTCCAGAGCAGGGTTGCATCTCTTATGTGATTATGTTAACATTGCTCGCTAAATTGTGACTTAAACAACAGAAAATAATACAGTGGTGCCTCGCAAGACGAAATTAATCCGTTCCGCGAGAGTCTTCGTCTAGCGGTTTTTTCGTCTTGCGAAGCAAGCCCATTGACGGATTAGCGCTATTAGCGCTATTAGCGGTTTAGCGGCTATTAAAGGCTTAAAGGCTTAGGGGATTAGCTGCTAAAAGGCTATTAAAGGCTATTAAAGGCTTAGCAGATTAGATCAAGGGGGGGGCGAGCGAAAAAAAAAAGCTCTAGACTCGCAAGATATTTTCGTCTTGCGAAGCAAGCCCATAGGGGAATTCGTCCTGCGAAGCAACTTCAAAACGGAAAACCCTTTCGTCTAGCGGTTTTTCCGTCTTGCGAGGCATTCGTCTTGCGGGGCACCACTGTATTTAGAATTTATTGGAGCCCATTACATTTCTATAGAAAAGGACTATCTAAGACAGCATGCTGTTGGAGAGGCAATCAGGATAATGCTTCTTTGAACCACGTGTTCTTACAATGTCCTTGCTAATTTTGGGGGGGAAAGTATAGGATTGTATAAACATGGCTGTGTGGAGAAAGTTAAAATTTTCAGAGGAAAATATTCTTTTGAATTACGTAGCTCCTATATGGAATTTAACAACTGGACGATGTAAATAGATTCTTTGTGCCCTTACTGCAGCCAAAAGACTGATGTTGATGCACTGGAAAGATCAATCTATGCACTGGAAAGATCAGTCAATAGGCTGAGGATATGACAACACACACAGCATTTGAGCAGATTACTTATAGACGTAGACTTTGCATGGGCAAATATATCAATATAGGGAAAGCATTTATAAAAAAATATAGGAGGTTATAAATAACCATACATGCTTACATCTGTGTGAATCAATAAACCATTCCCATTCTTTTATTAAAAGTTTGTTAACTTAATTTCTTATTTTTCCGGTAAGTTTTGCCACAAGTTTTTGTATCCATTCTTCTTTTCATTTTTGGGCAAGTAACATTCTTACCACTGTAGCTGCATACATGAATAAATTTCTGTACAGTTTGAGTAGTTCTGTCCCTATAATTCCCAAAAGGAAAGCTTCTGGGGATTTTTTTACAAATGTTATTTTAAACATCTTTTTCCATTCATTAGATATCATTTCCCAATAAGCTTTAACCATACTACATACGATAAAAAGAACCCTCTTTCTCTTTACATTACCAACACTTATTTGATTTAGATTTATACATTTTTGCCAATTTACTCGGTTAACTTTTTATTTCCAGTTTATTTTGTTCAATTGAAATATTATCAATTTAAAAATTAATTTTAAAAATGTTAACATCTCTCACTTAGGCCATTATGTGTGATGCTTGGAATTAGGCCCAGAAATGAACTGGCAACCAAAGCATTGTTGAGATCTAACAATCCCAGCTACTGCATTTTGGACCAGTTGAAGTTTCCAAATCATCTTCAAAAGCAGTCCCACATAGCTCCTCCCACTCTGTCCATTCCCACTGGTCATTCAGGGTTCTACATCACATGTGGAGACCATACGCTGCAGAGATTTGCCCTCCGATGTGTGGCAAGCAGCACGGACCTGATCCGAAAGGGAAGGTGGAGCTAGCATTCATGTGCCCACTCCCCAGGTGAGAGGCATGAAACCTGAAGAGGGCTTAGGTGGTACACAGTCTAACCACCCCACAAGGAGAACAGGGAGCTGATAGTTAAATCATATTGCCTACCAAGGCAAAGGATGAACCTTTGTATAATTAACAGGAGGTTTAGGGCTATATGGAAGCCCTAAAAAAAGAAAAACAGAAAAAGAAAAAAGGCCACTATAAAAATAAAAAGGTTTTAGAAGAAATCAGGCACACACAAAATGAATCACGATGCATTGGTTCGTTACAGATAGTGAATGTCATTGTGGGAGCCTTTAAGTGTTCTGGGATTTGTGCCTTTTTAAAAAATTAATAAATAAAAAATCACTCCCCTCAAATTGTAATTTTAAATTAGGGAGCAAATTGGATGAAGCAAGTGTTAGGAGATGATGCAAGTCAACACGGCAGTGTGGGAGCTCTGGAGTTCAAATGTATGTTTATTCAATAATCAGAGATTAACAATTACTGGCATAATTATATCTGCATAATGCATTGCCTGCTTCCTTCTGTAATGTCTTGGATTCTGTTGGACATGAACTCAGCCCAGTCTGTGAACCAGGTCTGCTTTTAAATACTTCCTGTGTCTACTTTTTCCAGAGTACAGAAGGCAAGGGGTGCAGGTCCTGTTGATCCTTCAAAGACTTTTCGCCACCCACGCTGCCACCAGGTGCCCAAAACTTTGGTGAGGACTCTCAGGGGCTTTTAATGTGCCCTCATGGACAAGGCATCTTCTCTTCCATTCCACATTGGGAAGCAGATGCCCAAGATAGCTAGCATCATGACCAATTAATGGACAGAACAAGATTTGTCAGCCTGGTGACCTCCAGATGTTTTGGATTACAGCAGTGTATCGGACTAATGGGACATCTGAATGGACCCCAGGTTGCTCCCCCTCCATGTCATTTATGCCACAGCCTATTTTTGTCTCCTCTTTGCCATCAGTACTCGGCTGGCAGAGACTTCCAGCCTGCAGCGCCTTCTGCCAATGTTCCAAGGTAGGGCATCCCATTTCGCCCTTATACCTCCTTTCTCCGCCAGTCAACCAGCGTCTTCACCATTTCCAAGGGCTGCTCAGTGGGTGGGTTTATTTATTACCTTCATTTATATCTCACATTTCCTCCAAAGAGAACCAGGCAGCATATGAGGGAAATAACTTGGGCTGAGAAACAGTGACTGGCCAAAGATCACCCGACGAGCTTCATAACTGCATAGAGATTTGAAGGCCCCTGGTTTCAGTCTTAACACTCTAACCACTACCCCATACTGGCTCAGGGAAAGGATTGCATCTAACAACAACAATAACAATAATTTATTTATTTATACTCCACCCATCTGGCTGGGTTTACCAAGCCACTCTGGGCGGCTTCCAATACCATAGTCTATTAAACATTAAAAGCTTCCCTAAACAGGGCTGCCTTCAAATGTCTTCTAAAAATCTGGTACAGTGGTACCTCGGATTACAGATGCTTCAGGTTACAGATGCTTCAGGTTACAGACTCCACTAACCCAGAAATAGTACCTCGGGTTAAGAACTTTGCTTCAGGATGAGAACAGAAATTGTGTGGCGGCGGCGCAGCAGCAATGGGAGGCTCCATTAGCTAAAGTTCTCAGGTTAAGAACAGTTTCAGGTTAAGAACGGACCTCCAGAATGAATTAAGTTCTTAACCTGAGGTACCGCTGTAGTTGTTTTTCTCTTTGATATCTGGTGGGAGGGTATTCCACAGGGCGGGTGCCACTACCGAGAAGGCTCTCTGCCTGGTTCCCTGTAACTTGGCTTCTTGCAGCGAGGGAACAACCAGAAGGCCCTCGGTGCTGGACCTCAGTATCCGGGCAGAACGATGGGGGTGGAGATGCTCCTTCAGGTATACAGGACCGAAGCCGTTTAGGGCTTTAAAGGTCAGCACCAACACCTTGAAACGTACTGGGAGCCAATGATCCTAAATCAATTAATCTTTAAGGAGCAATAAGATTTATTTATTTCTTACAGTGCCACCCCTCTCCCACTCCTCCCTTTTCCTGTGCTCTATTTTTCCTTTACAGCTTCCCCCCCCACCCCAGAAAAACACATTTGCTGACAGATTGCATTGTATTTTCTGTTCTCTAACCCTGTTCTCAAAATGTAGCTAAATTGCTCCTTATCATCCTTGAGAGATAATCCTGTCCTTCAAGCTGCCAGTTTGTTGTGGCTGTAGTAGCATTGTGAGGGCCAAATGACAGGAAATACATGATTGAATCTCCTGACATTCCCCCTCCCCTACTGATAATGCAGCCACCGAGAGAGGGTGGCTGCCAATTTCTTCAGAAGCAATAAGAGCATAAGAACATATGGCGATCCCTCCTGGATCAGGCCCAAGGCCCATCTAGTGCACCATCTTATTCTCACCAGATGGCTACGGGATGCCCCCACTTGCACTTTGCAGTGGAATAATGCTAGAGGTAGAACGTAACTCTCTTGGCTAGTTGTCACTGATAACCTGAGTGTACATGTATAAGCCTTTCTTTTTTAACTTCCCCACTGGTAGGGATGGGGAAGAGTTATCCTATGCATCATCCTGCTCATGCAAATTGCATGGTCGTATTGTACATAAGTGATGGAAAGTGTGTGTGTGTGTGTGTGTGTGTGTGTGTGTATGAGAGAGAGAGAGAGAGAGAGTACAATTCAGTTTAATATGGCACTGAGGGCTACCATTCCCACCCCACCCCCG